ATCCAAATTACATCAAAAATAGTTAAATAAGAAGCAGAAATTAAAATGAAACCCTAAAACTCCATGGGCCAAATACAAACCCAAAAATTAAGGCAAAATAACAAAATTGTTCATAACACCATTTAGAAAGCGATTTCTAGACTAAACAATGGGTAAGTTACCTTCGGGAGTTTATCTAGACGTGCTCCTTGCTCCAAGCTTCCATTTGACTGGTTGTAGGCCCGAAACTGAGATTCGTGCCCCAAGTTATGGCCATTTCCGTGAAGCCCCTTTAGTCACACGATCGTAGGCCTCTAGGAATGCAAGGGTCCGATCCTCCACACTAGGGCACGCACCAATTAGTCATAAAAGTTGTTTACTAATAGAAGTGAATTGATTATGAAGAAACATTTTCCACTACTGCATGACCCGAGGCTATACGCATTTTTCTGGCTTATGCAACTCATAAGCATTTTCACGTCTACCAGATGGATGTTAAGTTCACGTTGTTAAATGGTGTTCTTGAAGAAATAGTTTATATCGAACAACACATGGTTTCGTCAATAACAAGTTTCCTGACCATTGTTTTATTCACGGCAAGGCAGTTAATGGGTTAAAAAAAAAAAGCAACTGGTACTTCGTATGCAAATCTTACCAATTTTTTGAAAATCGCAATTTAAGCAAGGATCAGTTGATTCCACTTTATTTCGTAATAAATTAGGGGACCATCTGATGGTCGTTCAAATTTATGTCAATGACATTATATTTGGTTCTACGGATTCTTTGTTTTCAAAAGAATTTGAGGAACAAATGAAGAGTCAATTCGATATGCCCATGATGGGGAAGAAAAATCATTGCATGGGTTTAAATATTTGTCAAAGTTGGCAGGGACTTTTTTCCTACTTGAAAGGTTTGGCATGAGGAATTGTACAAAAGCTAAAGTTCCATGGCAGTCGAGACTCGCTTAGGTCCTTTGTTGGATAAGCCAACTTTTAAGATCAAAACAAACACAATCATGATTGTTTCAATTTTGTATTTAATGACAAGTTGACCTGATATAATGTTTTATTTTTCTAATTGTGCCAGGTATAAAGAAAATCCAAGAGAACCTCATCTTACTGCAGCGAAAACAGGATTATTTATTAAAGCTTTCTCAGATGTGGATCTAGGGGGTTGGCAATTAAATCGAAAGATAAAAAAATGAGGTTGTCAATTCCTAGACGGGAAGCTTGTGAGTTGGTAGTCGAAAAAGCAAACATACATATAAATTTCGACAGTTGAGGCTGAATGTATTGCTGATGCGGCTTGTAAATCTCAAGTGATCTGGATCCAAGTAAGTTACATGACTATGAGATTAACATAAAGATAATTCCTTTATATTGTGATTCTCAAAGTCCAATTCTTATATGTCATAATCCAGTCCAGCATTCGAAAACTAAACATATTTCTCTTCGGTACCACTTAATCAAAGAACATGTTGAAGATGGGAATATTGAAGTCGATTTTGTCAAAACAACTGATCATCTTGCTAATATTTTTACAAAAGTTTTTGACGAAAAGTCATTTTTAATAATTTTAAATGGATTAAGAATGATGGACGCTTGTTATGTTCCAAATTCTACACAATTTTTGAATTTGATATGTGAACGTTTTGGAATAACTTTGGATTGTCTATCACACATTGGACTATTGAATTTCACTTTCAACTATTGGATTCGCTTCTGACTTTTTATTTCACTTTCTACTAGTTGGTATCACTTTCATGTGTTTTACTAACTTTCGTTACTTGTATGATAGTTGTTTAGAGGTTACTATTTATGTTCAACGTTTACATACCTTTGCATTCGATTTCCCTTTGATTCATTCACTATCAGTTCCCAGTGTGGTATTAATATTTCGATGGCACACACATGTCTTTGGTGAGCATTTGATTACAGGACATTTCTTTGAAGAGAAGAGAACATTGGTTCGTGTACAACATATTTTGTTATCTCTAACAAATATCTAGTGTTTGGGATATCCTTTTCTTACTTTCTTCCTTTCATTTATAAAATTCAAAAATTCAAAAAGATTTTCTTATTTTTGTTTTTTGTTTATTAAATTTAAAAATCCAAAAAGGTTTTCTTATTTTTTTTTTCATTTATAAAATGAAAAAATCCAAAAAGATTTTCTTAATTTTGTTTTGTATTTACAAAATCAAAAATCCAAAAATATTTTCGTTTTGTTTAATTTCTATTTTTTTGAAAAACACAAAAAATATATTCCTTATTTTGGAAGATTATTGTTATAATGTCCTAGAAGCATGCTGCAACATGTTGTCCACAAGCCTGATAGACTCTTTGTGTTCTAAGCCTTAATGAAAATTTTCACACGAAAGTTTCTTCCCAATTATGCTGTATTCACATTAGTTGATGAGCTACCTTTCTCTTCTCATGACGAGTAAAGAGATTTATGCTATGTTCAATTTTTCATAGAGGTACAATGAGTCTTCATATCCCATCTTTCTCACCCAAAATTTATAACACGATCACACATAATGACGCATGCCCAATACGCATTTGTTCGAAACCAACGATGATATAGGTATGTCACGCATCTATCTTCATGATCCTTAATCATTTTTCCGTGACGAAGGTGAAACCCAATAAACCTTAACTTAACGAATTGATGGTGAACATTTACTGTTCAGGATTATCACGAAACATTTGTTTCAATGTACCAATTTTATGTTAACAATCTCATTTTCATTTTCTTTGTTTGAACTTAATTAAATGTAGTCATCCCAAGTCGTTTCTACCCAATAGATCTAGTTTTTTTTTTTTAATTTTTTATTAAATGAAATTTCCATTTGGACATCTCTCTAACTTTCGTAACTTCAAAATTTTCAAACCCTACTTGTTCTTAACAACACGGGTCATCCAAGTATTTTTGCACAATTCTTTACATTTATGTCAAATTGTAATTTTTTTTAAAAACGAAATCACTCGTGAACCTTATGAAAAGAGGACGTTCGATATTCATCAATGAGTTTTCGATTCTGATTCATGGGAAACCACACTAGTTGTTCGTCATCTCTCTTGATGTCGAATGAAGCGTATTTTTGCCCGTGATCTTTCTGCTTTTATATCAAAGATTTTTTGATATCACAATGCCAATTTTTTATTCGCTTTTCTCTTATCCTTTGGCATACTTAAGCACTAAAATCCTTTAGGTTTGGGTATTACCAACTCGAAACTTAGATTTCACCCGGTGTGGCACGTGATTTCGCTTATCATTCCGATAAGTGAATGAGCCTAGCCTCCATAACAAAGTATGGTTCTATGTTAGTATCTAAAGTCATGGTGGTTTATTTTTGGTTGGGAGATATGAAATATCCGTTAGATCGGATGGTTCATGATATTCACGAGGCTTGAGGCAAAAAGTGATCATCACTTTTACACATGGCAGTTTTTTTATGGTGATGGTTAAGTAACCAATATTCCACGTTGCATTATATTACTAGGGAACATTTTGAATTCAAATTTCATGCCAGTTATATAAACAAACTGGTCATTATCATACCAATTTTCTGGAATTCTCTCAAAGAACCCTAACTATTCATTGCAAATTTTCCCTCCAAAATTCTCTCACTATACTAAAATGGCCACTGATCAAAAGATCGTTGATCAGTTCAATACCAACAATGAAGAGATTTTACAGCCGATGATGAAGATTCAACATACAAATCCCTAGTTTAATCCCTAGCTTGATGTTTATCTTAAAGAACTACGCACGGTAGTATTGATTCTGAACAACTTAGTTCTTCATCATGATTTCTCATGTACTTTTGCAATTCCGATGCAATGGTTCTCTTTAGTGGCTTCTACTGCAGTTTACAATAAAACAACCAAAGTAATTACGTTTCAATTGATCTCTCAAAAGAAAAAGCAACTCACCAAGAAGCAATTTTTCAAAATCCTAAACTTACTTTCGTTTCGTACGTTTTATGAATTTTCTGCTGTACAAGTCATTCATATGTTCAACGAGATGGTCAATCAACCCAATTCATCAATTATTAGTCACTTTAAGAAGTTCAGGTTTCCTTCTATTTTGAATTTTTCCTTCAACATTATTCTAAGGTGTTTAACAAGACACAATTATGGGTTGGATAAGGATGAGATTGAAGTCTACTCAATTATGGTTGGGTTGTATTATGGAGTAGATGTTGATTATGCATCTTTGTTGTGGGAAGAATTTGGGAATTTGATTTCTTATTCCAATGTAGCATCTGGAGTTTCGAGTGTTAGTTTTGGGGACTAATTTTATAGCAAGTTTTTACTCAAGAAGATATTATTTTTCGTATGGATGTTGATACAAATGAGTTTCCATCCATGATTATTCCTAATATTTTTGTGGATGATGTTACCATTTTTTCGGTGGTTGCATGAATTTCAGATTCGATGCTTAATTTGGTAAATTCTACTAATTAATTGTTGGTTCAGTAACGAGCTTCAATTGACCCTACTCTAACTGGTATTCTACCACCCAAGGTTTCATATAAAGGTGTTGAAGGATCATTGAAAGTATCTAAGGGTTATAAGAGAAAGAAACATGACGAGAAGCCAAAGGAAGTAACATAAGAGGTTGTTAAGGAGATTGTAGTTACCAAGAGTGGAAAAGGGGTACTTTAAAGAACAAAGAAACCTACTAAGAAATCATCAGAATCTGAACCCACAAAACCTACTCAAGTGTTTGTAATCTAAAATGTTGTGCCTCAGTCTGAGACGGTTACTAAGGATATTCCTACTCAAGGAGAACATGTTGGAAAAAAAGGGATTTCCAAGAGGGTTAAGAAGCTACAGTTTACATGAAAAGGATTTGTGTTTAAGGAGATTTCATCTCCTAATTCTCCTATATCGAGAAAGAGTACTGCTTTGGACGTGGTTTACAAATTAAATAAGTGAAAGCAAACTCCTATTGGGCATCAAAAACTAGATGCATTTGTTAGATCAGATCACGACAGTGATGACACCGATTAAGAAATGGGAGGCTCATTTCTTGTGTCACCACGAAAGGATACCTCTATCAAGTCGACTTTTGAGGAGACAAGTAATCCTGATGTCAATGCAAACGTATCTAATTCAGATGTAAACATCAGTTCTATTGCACAACAAACTACAAGAATTCCTGAGATGACCAAAGTCATACCACCCAGAGGTTTGAATACTGAGTCCAATTTCGAGGAGGTCAAAAATCTAGGTATCATTGTGAACTTATCTAATAAGGACACAAAAGCCAATATGGATCAAGGGATTAAGACTGTCGAAACCGCTACTACCGCTATAGTTGAAGAAAATTGTTGTTCCTCTAACACAACCATCATCTCTACCACTTACATCCGTTACACCAATTTCTTCAATAGTTGTTTCTACAACATTTGTTGGTGTTATGCAAGAACCGATTGCCACTCTTTTCTCATCTGAATCAACTGAACCTGAGAAGACCATTATAGAAACTAATGTAGATGATGATGATGTTATTGTTGCGTTTGCTAAATTACAGTTCAACCCTAAAGAAAAAGACATACGTAATGAGTTGATCATGTTAGGTAAACAATTCAAGATTCTTAATTCTAAAATGAATTCAGTTCTTCAGTTATTGGCTAATACTGGTGGAAAGAATTATGTTAGTAGGGTTGAATTTGAATACCTTTTGAAAGCTCAAGAGTCTCGTCTTCAATCCGTGATTAAGGATGTTGCTAAGAAACATGAAAATAAAATGGCTAACCAGTCTCGAAATTTTGAATAAGAGATCACTAAGATTCATGAAGTTGCTAAAGAGCGCAATGAACTCTTTGATAAGAAGGTGTCTGAAATGAAAGAGTCTCTTGAATTCCAAGTTAATGAGATTCAAACCTTGATGTGTAAAGAGATTAATAAGTTAGATGAAAACTACAAATTATTGCATGAAAAAGTTAATGTCATAGCTAATGTAACAACTCACTTCATACAACTTAGCAATGATTATTTAAATGATCTCAAAGTCACATCGGAGAAAGAAAAAAAAGTGTTTAAAAAAGTTGAATAATATTTATCTAACTTTAAAGAAACATTATCGAAAGTAGATCTTCCAAGTCAATATTTTATTTCTCAAGAATCCATTTCTATAATGGTTTTTTAATATTCAGTCAAACATCAAAGTTGAGTTGGCTCCAATCCTCAATTTGCTACTTTGTTTACAAACAAATGCTCCATTTGCTGCACACATCTCACAAGGGGGAGAATGTAGAATTTGTTTGTCTAAGGGATTTGGTGATGACTCTGGAGTAGTTTTAGGGAAAGTTATGTCTACTCAAATTCCAAGAACAATCGCAATGAAGCTAGTAATCACATCCACCACAACAACCACTACACCAGGGAATCTTGATCATTTGAAAATCCAAACAAAAGCAATTTTGATCAATGAAGGAGCTGTATGTTTGAGTTTTTTCCTTTAAAAAAAACCTCTACTCTTGATCCCAAAGATAGAAGGAAATACATTCAAGTTAAACAGCCAACAAAAGAGAAGAAGACACTGCAAGCAATTGAGATCGAAAGACAAAGGAAAATTAACATCATTTTGAGTCAAAGGGTAAATGATCCACCAGGATTGAAAAAAGGTGATCCTAAAAATAATTGGTGTTATTAAATAGTCGCGATAGCAAATCTTGGTAAGAATCATAAATTCTTGAAAAGCCCAAAAAAAGCAATTACATGGACAACTTAGAATTCAATCAACTTGAAGATTAGCTTACATGCAGTTTTGGAAAAGAGTGAAGAGGAGTTGTGGTTGTTGGTGAAGATTTTCAAAGTGATGTAGATTGTACCTAATGTCTTATTTCAAGGATTGTTACAGAACTTTCATTATTTTGTCATGAGGGAAAATAATGTGGCATTCAAGTTCACAACTATAGACTTTCCTTTGATGAATATGAATGATCTTATCATGGTAACAAAATTCTTATGCAATGTTGATGTATCGAAAGAAATATAGGAGAATAGAGAAGCATTCATTATTGGGTTTGCTCATGTAAAGACATTTCTTGATAACTATTACACTTATTTAGTGATAACATATATATTGATCTTCCTATGGTAGTCAAAAAAACATCAAAGGTTCCATAATCGTTGTTGAAGAGGTAGATGAACATTGAAGTATTTGAAGATGTCGAGATTATACATGTACCTTTTGGAGTTGTTTTTCAAGGAAATAACTAGAACGGTAAGTTGACAAAATTTCTGTTACAAGTTAATGAAATCAAGAGTTACACAAACTATCATTTTTTGAATCTTTTGATCCGCATCAACAACTGCAAGAAGAATGAAGATGCAGACAAAGAGAAGATTGAAAAAATCAATCTTCGGTACATGGTGGTTAGAAGGGAGTTGTTATAGAAAAAAAAAGATTAGATCTTGAAGTCTTGACTATGCTAACTAGGGTTGGGGGATTATAGAGTCGAAAGTAGTAGCGAGTAGTCAAAAGCTATATCTTTAGGTTTCATGTTTTTCAATAATCAAAATTATGCACTTTTGTTATCTTTTCTATTTACAAGGTGCTTTCTAGTTTCGATCCTTATGTTCAAGTACTTGCATTTTTTTGTATGTCTGAGGTACCCTATAAATAGTGAAACGACCCAAAATTTTCCGTTTAAATATTACAAAGGTTATCAACCATCTATAATATACCATGAAATCGTACGTCATAAATCCCAAAAAGTTATAATAAAATTGTCATAACAAAAGAATTGTAACAACATATCATAGCATATGAAATAAACT